AAAGGGGAGAAAAATATCAGACAAAAACTTTTTTTTCTGTGGGAGAGGAGGGAAATTAAGAGAGTTGGAAATGATTGTCCTCAATCTTTCCAATGCGGAAAGAATAAAAAGAGGCAGGTGTGGCATGCACAATTGCTGGGGAACACGAAATATTTAGAGATAAATATAAAGCTTGTTTAACAGCAATGAGAGCACAACTGAGGGTGAATAGCAAGAATTAACAGTGTAACCAATTAGTCTGGGCTTAAGACTCATCTTCATAATATTTGAGCAGTCTGAGAACTGGAGCAGGAGAATTGAATTATAGGGTTGACCCAGAATTTGAGTCTAACTATAAAAATTTAAATTAGGTAACGACAAAATAAATAAAAAATAAATTAGGGAATGTCTATGGCCTGAAGCTCCTGATTAGTTGAAACTCCATTCTTTGCATTAAGAAGGTCTTTTATTAATCATATTATAATCTATAGGGAGCTAAAGCTACTATTGTATACTTTGTATATCATTGGTAAGAACCAAAAAACCCTGGAATAGTGCTTGCTTCAACAGCACATATACTAAAATTGGAACAAGACAGAGAAGATTAGCATGGCCCTGTGCAAGGATGACACACAAATAAATGAAGCACTCCATATTTAAAAGAAAACTTTGGAGTAGAATAAATGAATCATTTAAGTAATTATAATTTGCATCTGCCATAAGCTAAACTAAATAGACTGATTAATTTATCCTTGTGATCTATCACTTTTGGATTTGGCCAATACCATAATATGAAACCTAATTATAAAATACTGCAAGACAGAAGAACTTTTTTGTTAGACAAAGTAGCCCTGACTTACCCTATAAATGCTACTAAAAGTGGACAGGCTTTCTTTAGCTGCAGGGCAATATATTTGTGGATTACACTCAAAGTTCCCATTCTAAGCTTTTTTAAAAAGTTCTCATTATCCTTTTATCTCAAACAAAATAATAAACAACTAAAAAAACCAATTTTCAGCTTTGCCATCAGTCTCACTTCTCTCCTTTAGTGGGCCTTTTTGTAATACAGAAACTCTGTAATTAGCACTTGTAACTTTATTATTCAGCCCAAGAATAATAAATACATTTCATTTAATATTCCTTTAATATCTTTGATACTTTGATTAGAAATTTTCATTGCCATAAACTTACCATAACTCTTCTATTTTCTGTGCTTCCCAAACCAAGCTAGGATGCAGACTTGGATAGTTGAGAGAGTATATACTCTGCCTTCTGCTCGTAATTACCAGTGGCAATTCCGACAGCAATTCCAACCAAGACTTTTACCTTTTCACATTACAAGAGAAACAAGAAAATGAGGGAGGGAGGAAAAGAAGAAGGGAGGGACCCCGGGTGAAGTTTGAAGAGTATAGTTTGATAAACTCCTACATTGTTGATTTTTCTCCACCAAACCACCAATTGATAAGAGAAAAAAAAATGTTTGTCGCATGCCTGTTATGTGTCTGAATTACATTATATACACTAGATTCTTTAATCCAAAGAACATCTGTGAGAAGAGGCAGTACTGTCCTCATTTTGCGATGAATGAGATGAGGTCCACATAGCATTCTGTTATGGACTAAATTTTGTAACCACCACCCACCTCCAAAAAAATTCACACACAGTAGCCCCAACTCTAAATGTGTATTTGTGGATAGGGCCACAAATTAGTAGATCTTAATTTGTAGATCTTTCAACAGGTCCAAAGTCACCTTAGGTGGTCCATGGGGGTGGGGGACTGGCTTAAGAATGCAGTCCAGGGCAGCACTGTGGCTCAAAAGAGTAGGGCACCAGCCCCATATGCCGTAGGTGGCGGGTTCAAACCCAGCCCCAGCCAAAAACTGCAAAAAAAAAAAAAAAGAATGCAGTCCAGGGGAAGCACCTGTGGCTCAGTGAGTAGGGCACCAGCCCCATACACTGAGGGTGGAGGGTTCAAACTTGGCCCCGGCCAAACTGCAACAAAAAAATAGCCAGATATTGGGGCTATAGTCCCAGCTACTCAGGAGGCTGAGGCAAGAGACTTGCCTAGGGCCCAGGAGTTGGAGGTTGCTGTGAGCTATGATGCCACAGCACTCAACCAAGGACAATAAAGTGAGACAAGAAAGTCTCTACAAAAAAAAAAAAAAAAAAAAAGAATGCAGTCCAAAAGGGGGGAAATGTTTTCTGTTGTGGACTAAATTTTGTAACCTCCTCCAAAAAAATTCATATACAGCAGCCCTAACTCTCAATGTGTATTTGTGGATAGGGCCTTTAAGGAAGTAATTAAGGTTAAGTAAGGTTATAAGGATGGGGCCTAATCTAGTAGAGCTGGTGTTCCTACAAAAAAGGGCAGGAACAGAGGATCACCCTCATGCTATCCTTTTGTAGTTATATTCATCCCCTCATTCTCCCCTCCACCATCCCTAACCCCTGGCAAGCGCTAATGTTGTCTCTAAACTTTTCTCATTATGAGAATGCTTCTCACATTGAGAATGAAACCATATAGTATGTAATTTTTGATATTAGCTTTTGTTTACTTAGCATAATGCTCTTGAGGATCATCCAAGTTGTTTCATCTATCAATACTTTGTGCCTTTTTATTGCCAAGTAGTATTCTATGGGACAGATGTACCACTATTTCTTTAGCCATTCATCCACTTAAGATCATTTTGATTATTTCCAGTTGTTGATTATTACAAATAAAGCTAATATGTGCACATGTTACTTGTGTTCTCAATTCTCTGGAATAAATATCCAGGAGTTCATTTGCTTGGTCACATGATAGCTGCATGTTTAATTTTTAAGAAACTGCCAGTTTTCCAGAATGGCTAAACTTTACATTTTGCATTCCCTCAAGCAATGTAAGAGAGATCTGATTTCTCTGCATTCTTGCCAGCATTAGTATTGTCACCATTTTTTACTTAGCGATTCTAATAGGTGTTGACAGCTCATTGTCTTAATTTGCATTTCCCTAATACCTAACATTAAACATGTTTTCATTTGATTATTTGCCATCTGTATCCTCTTCAGTGAAATGTGCTATGTCTTTTCCCATTTTAAATTGGATTGTTCATGTCTTTTGCCCATTTTTAATTGAATTGCTTGAATTTTAACTACTTAATTTTTTATTGATTAAAATATATACCATAAGATTTACCTTTTTTTTTTTTTTTTGAGACAGAGCCTCAAGCTATCCCCCTGGGTAGAGTGCCGTTGTATCACAGCTCACAGCAACCTCCAACTCCTGGGCTCAAGCAAGTCTCCTGCCTCAGCCTCCCAAGTAGCTGGGACCGCAGGTGCCCACCACAACACCTGGCTATTTTTTGGTTGCAGCCACCATTGTTTTGGCAGGCCTGGGCTGGATTTGAACTCACCACCTTAGGTGTATGTGGCTGGCGCCTTAGCCACTTGAGCCACAGGTGCCGAGCCAGATTTACCATTTTAAAGCATACAGTTCAGTGGCATTAAGTACACTCACACTGTGCAATCATAACCACTACTCATTTCCAAAATTTTCAGCCTTCCAAAAAGAAACTCTATGCCCGTTAAACAAAAACTCTCCATTTCCCCTTCCCCTCCAACCCCTGGAAACCTGTTTTAGGCACCTCATGTAAGTGAATCATGTATTTGTTCTTTTGTGAACGGTTTATTTCACTTAGCATAATGTTTTCAAGGCTCATCCATGGTCTAACATGTCTCAGAATTTCATTCTTTTGAGGCTGAATAATATTCTTTTCTATTTATATGCTACAATTATATTTACCCATTCATCTCTTTGGGAACATCTGGGTAGTTTCCACCTTTTGGCTATTGTGAATAATAACTGCTATAAGCATTGGTGTACATGTATCCGTGTAAGTCCTGACTTTCAGTTCTTTTGGATCTATGCCTACAAGTGGATTTCTGAGATCATATGGTAATGATATGTCTAATATTTCAATAAACCACTTAACTATTCCCCACAGCAGATACATCATTTTACCTTACCCTCAGCAATGCATGATTTTTCCACATTCTTGTTAACATTTGCTATTTTCTATCGTGCTTTGTTTAATGACTCCTGTGCTAATTTGTGTGAAGTTCTATCTCACTGTGGTTTTGTGTCTCCCTCATGCATAGTATCTTTTCATGTGTTTTGTGTTACCTTTTTTGGAGAAATATCTATTCAAGTCTTTGTTCATTTTTAAATTGGGTTTTTGTTGCTATTGAGTTGTAGAAGTTCCTTCTATATCTACTATAATCAAATAAATGCTTTGCAGATATTTTCTCCCATTCTGTGGGTTATCTTATCACACTCTTGATAGTATGCTTTGAAGTATAAAGAGGTTTTTTTTTTTTTCTGTTGCGTTTGAAGAGTTCTTTGTTCTAGATACAATCTTTTTGTCAGATAAGTAGTTTATAAATATTTTCTCCTGATCTGTACCTTGTCTTTTCATTCTCTCAACAGAGTCCTTCACTTAGGAAAGGTTTTTAATTTCAATAAAGTCCAATTACTAATTTGCTTTTGTCAAACTCTTAACAAGCCTTAGGTACCAAAGATTTTTTTCTGTTTTCTTCTAAAAGTGTCATGGTTTTATGCTTTACAGTTAAATCTATAATCCATTCTGAGTTTTTGTATAAGGTGTGAAGTCTACGTCAAGATTTCTTTTTTCCCAATGGATAGCCAGTTGTTCCAGCACCATTTGTTGAAAACACTATTCTTTCTCTATTGCATGATTTTGCATTTTTGCCAAAAACCAATTGGGTGTATTTGTGTGGGTCTATTTCTGGGTACTCTATTTCACTGCTATGTTTCTATCTCTCTGCCAATACCACACTGTCTTAATTAATGTGGAATATAAGAAATATAAAATTTGGGTACAGTAATCCTCCCCACTTAGTTCTTCTTTTTCAAAATTATTGTAGCTAGTTTCTTTGTTTTTTCCATATAAATTTTAGAATAATTTTGTATCTAACGTTGACTAAAAATCCTTTGATCAGTAAGTTCAGGAAAAAAGAGCTTTGTTTTTCATAAAGGGTTATAGCCTACAAGGTTGGGAAGCAGGCCTCTGGCAGACATTGAAAGGCAAACGCTTGAAAGGAAGGGGGAACAGGAATTTATACTCAACAGTTTGGCCAAGTATAAATACATATTCAACAGGTTACACGAGCTATGAGTATCCACAGTGCACGTGGGGGGGGGGTGTCCTAACACACATACTGAATAAGCATTTGTCACTTACGCCCTATGTTCACTTTGGGGTGGAGAGTTAACATTTTAATTTATTACAATTAGACCCTATACATCACAGGGTGGAGTGGGGAAATGGAGTCACTCATGTGTGCAGCTTCTGTAAACCAGCCAGAACCAGTCCACGGTCAGTGGATGCTTACCAGGAGAAAGTTACTGAATCTTGTCCAATTAAGCTGTAGTTTGGGCTTGAGAAAAGGGCATGGGGGGTCAGTTATCAGCATCTGGCGGTGAATGAGCTACAATTATTTAAATAGTGTTTATCTCAAAACCAGTGCTTGTTTAGATGCTAAAGAAAAACCTTGTGGCAGCTAAAATATATATTCTTTACACATAGGGGGTCTATGACTTAACTCCAACATGGCCTTAGCTATTGTTTATAATTTGGTATCTTATGGCCATGAAGAGTCTG